TTTCAACATCTCCATAATCAAGTGATCAATATTCAGATGCTTGGCAGTTGGCTCATATTTATCTAGTGTCCTAGGGTCATCTTCTGTGACCTTTTGAAGCCAGATTCATAGAGCAACCGTATTACTAACTTAACTGCAGTGATTCACTTAACAACTGTGACAAGAAAGGTCACAAAATGGGGAAAAACTTATCAATTGTCTCGCTTAGCAGAAGAAATTTTGGGCTCTCTTATGAGTAGTAAGTTGAGGACTTACTAACATAGGATCCTGATTTCTCAAGTAAATCTGCGATTTTACTCACCCGATACTTAGACTTATGGAACTCAGTGAGATCCAAGGAAATCTACTCAATATTACTTTCTAAGCTTGCTAAGCTATCCTTTCTTTGCAAGCGTTCCTCCTGATTTAAAACAAAATAAAGGAGTGAGCGGCATTCCAGATCAGGGGTGGTAGTTATATTCTCCAACGTATAACCGAACAGTCTGGAAGACTTAAGTAGCATCTTTTCCCAGCTAACACATTTTGTTAAAGGGAATACGTTTTCGTGCTAGTTGGGGAAGGCATTGCCAACCTCGATTTTTGCTACCCCAGATTAATGTGACTCTCTTCCAACAGTAACAGTTTATCAGCATCTCCCCCATCTACTGCAATTTTACTTAACTCACATTTCATATTTGAAAGAGAATATTATATATTTCTAGGCCATTAGCAAGGACCACTTCTCAAATCGGCCGAAAATATATTTCATTTACTTGAAAGGAAGATGGTTTTTTTTCCCCTTTAAAACGGGAAGCTTGTTTTACATTTGCTGAGAACACAAAAATAGGAAGCAAGTTCTCTAGAATATGAGGTAACAGACATTTTTTCCGGATTTCTTACAATCACAAAACTAAATTCTGATCTATAAAGTTGCTATTAACTAGCCTTTAGATGTTAACAGTGATTCTGTGTTTTTCATTTTTGTGTGGAATCTGAACTGCTTTTTTTTTTCTTTTTTACAGGTATTCTGTTTGATACTTTGCGTTCTTTGTATAATAGATGCTACTTTGATCCTGAGAAAAGTGACTTTTAATAGGTCATAGTAGGAAGGCATGGTATCCAAAAATAAAATGGCCAACTGAGCCAAATAAACTATATAAAACAGCCATTCCTAATGTAACTTTATACAAATATGTTGGACTAGAGCTCCCATCATTCACAACCAATGCATAAAGCACTTTATTGTGTGCAGCTGGGACAAAATACCAGCAGGTCATCAGACTGGGAAAGCTGTTATAATCCATTTTAAAAGCCTGCTTTCCTATAGGCTCTTTGTCACACTTTCTCTGTATTTCCTAAAAGCTTTAGACTCCAGTTGAGTCAGCCAAGCTTTATTAAATCCTATTGATTTCAAAAGGCAAAACTGAGCACACGTTTGAACCCTATCAAATTAGCTGTGATTTAAAATGCTTTACTTGAAGGGGATTTTGTGCCTTTAGTTTAATGGCACCTAGAATTTGACTACTGTGTACTTTATCAAATTAGTTCATTTATTTCAGCAGTATAAGCAACCGTTCATAAAAAAAAATACCTTGTGTCTTATATTATATATATATATATATTATATCTTATATATTATGGGGTATATCATCTTGAACTGGTTTGTATTAAATCTTCATGTTTTTAATTAAAAGGTTTGCCTGCAATAATATTAGGGTGCCTGGTCTTTATTGTGTACATTTTCCTCATTCAGAAAAGTTTTTAAAACGTTAACATTTTCAACAAAATGCCACCTTAAGAAGCCACCACCATTGACTGGGCTGCTTGTAATAACAGAATACTGAGTTCACTCAATGTGCTGGGTTAATATGGGGGTGTTCAATGACTCCCGACTTTCCAATTAAACATTCAGCCTCTGGTCATTCGTTAACACGTTGCACAAATGCAGACACACTCACAACTTGGCAAATCTTAACAGAGCACACAAAAAGCTAAAGTCAGACAGAACAACCTTTTGGAATATTGTCTGACAATGCAGAATGGAGATGTAGCAGTAAGTAACATTTGTATTTTTTTTTGTATCCCACCTTTACTGTTTTTGCACACAACTCAAGCCAGAAAACCTACCCAACATGTCTTTCGCCTTGTATTTTCCCCACAACAACAACAACCACAACCCTGTGAGGCGAGTTGGGCTGAGAGAGAGGGACTGGCCCAAGCTCACTCAATTGGTTTTCAAGGCTAAGGTGGGACTAGAACTCGCAGTCGCCTGCTTTCTAACCTGGCGCCTTGACCATTAGACCAGGGGGTCTTCAAACGTGGCCCTTTTATGACTTGTGGACTTCAGCTCCCAGAAGTCCTCAGCCAGCGTGCCTGGGAGTTGAAGTCCACAAGTCATAAAAGGGCCACGTTTGAAGATCCCTGCGTTAGACCAAACTAGCTCTTATGGAATAACACTACATTTTTCCACCTCTTAATAACATTAAACAAGTTTATTGAGTAATTTCCTTAGGACAACCCCCTCACACATACGCACACGATATTTATGTTTTGGTTCCTAATTCTAACTCAACTTTTGAGTGGCTCATGTAAAAAAGCAGATACCACATTCTTAGCAATAATATTGCAATTACATTTTTGTGGAGGGGGGAGAAATACTATATTCAGGCATGAAGCTGAATATAGTTGGGTGTGCCAAACAAGCCTTAAGACTTGCTTCTCCTTTTCATTCTACACCACAATGAGAAGATCTGAAGATTTTTGCTGAAATTGTACATGTCTTTTTGTGCACCAGGATAAAGCAAATAAAGCCATTCTACAGTTTCTGATCCTGACCTAAGATAAACCAGAGATGAGGAATTGTTGGCTTAAAGGCTTCAGGCAACCCACCAAGCCTTCCTCTGTGTAAATTTTTCCAGTGAACATGCAATATTCCCCAGCTCTGTGACCTCTTGAGAAATTTAAAAATAGGAAAAATAATTTAAAGCCATTGATGAATTGGTTAAAATGAAAACACTGAACTATGTCCTTCTATCTGTTTTTAACTGAAACTTAAAACGATTAAGGTAGGGTAACATAAATGTTTGGAAATACAAAACATGGAAAAGTGGAACAGTATGTGAAGGTAAAGCTTCTTTCAACACAAGCAAACTTAAGGCTTTCAAAAAACCAGGTGAATGGTTAAAAAAAAAAAATCAGAAGTAGAAACTGCCCATGGTGATAGTTCAGAAAAAAGAAAGAATAAGCGTTTTATTGCAAAATGTCAATTTCTGAATCTTAATCACCTTTCTGAAAGTTTCCTACAGTGGAGGCAAAAACCAGGACATATAACTTGATTATTTTTGCTGTTGGCATTTTTTTGCTTGTCTAAACAGGCAATAGTGAAGACAAACTACATTCCTTTGAGTTTACAGCTCCATTTGCTATAAACAATAAAAACTTCTAAAGTAGAATTAAATATATTTCCATGTTATACCTCAAGCAAGCAAAGGAGTATAAGTTATTCATATTTATAAAATCCTGGATCCTCTTTTATCTATAAAGGTTGTTAAACATTAAAAAGCTCGATTATGCCTCCCATATATAATAGATAAGGACTCCCCAAATTCCCAGCTAAATTTGGGTAGGATTTTGGAAGACCCTATAGCAGGGGTGTCAAACTGCTGGCCCGCAAGCCAGATGCATCATAGCGAAACCTTGCCGACAATGGAAAAAAAGTTGTGATACGTTGTGACACGTCACGTGATGTTGCGAGCTTGACACCCCTGCCCTGTAGCATCCTCTTTGTTCTGGATTTTACTGATAGTTAACTTGTCTCCCTTACCTCCCTCCCTTAATCAGGTGAAAATTAAGAAAAAGTATTGTGGTCAGTTTCTTGACCTCGCTGATTCTCAGTAGTCTTCTGAAGTCTTTCTCCGGACACTTCAATCTATTGCAGTGGTTCTCAACCTGTGGGTCGGGATCCCATTTGGGGTCGAACGACCATTTCACGGGGGTCGCCAAACAACGCAGTCCGCCATTTTTTCCCCCTTTTCCTTACCTGTGCTCCTCCCTTTTATTCTGTTGGCTTTTGAAAGCCAATAGAATAGACTCTCTTGAATAGAGTCTAATTCTATTGGCTTTCAAAAGTCAATAGGAATTGTCCAGGCTGTCTCTGCCCTGCTGAGCCCGCCAAAAGTCCCATTCTGCAAACGGGGCTGCACCAGTTGAGTAGTTCTTGACTTACGATCGGTTGAGTAGTCCTCGACTTACGACCAGTTGGGGGTCGCGGCATTAAAAAGGTTGAGAACCACTGGACTAGAAGACCTCCCAAGTTCCTTTCTGTTGTTCTGGATGATCAAGTTAGTGCAGGGATGGCCAAGCTAGGCAACTTCAAAGACTGGTGTCTATGGAGAGTCTCAGTCATCCCAGGTCACCGTTATCCCCAAGGTGCTTTTCCAAAAGGCAACCGGACTCTGTTGTTGATTTCCTTGAAAACGTTTCGCTTCTCGTCCAAGAAGCTTCCTCCGTTCTTGGGTGGGAAGCGAAACATTTCCAAGGAAACAAAGCAAGAAAATCCAGTTGCCTTTTGGAAAAGCACCCTTGGCTTTCAGAGTTGCTGGCTGGGGGGTTCTGGGAGTCAAAAGTCCACGGGGGTCTTCTTAGGGCTGCCCAGGCTGGAGCAAACCCCGCGTTAGCGAAACAAACCTACTTTTTTGTTTGTTTGTTTGGCGCACCAGCCGTTTGCAGGGCGGCAGCGAGTCTCAAGCTTTCCCACGAACACCAGAGGCTGTTCTGGGCGCGGGACTCGCTCGCTGCGACTTCCAAGCGCGGCTGGTCCAGCCAGGCAGGGCTTCGCGCTCCGAGCGGGTCGCGATCCGGAGCAGCTGGCTGCGTAAAAGGGGCGCTTCCGCGCCTGGGCTCTCCAGGCTAGGAGACCCCGCCGCGAGTTCAATTTAGGCGCCGGAGGAAAGAGGAGGAGGAGGAGGAGGAGGAGGAGCCGAGACGGCGAGGCCCCCTCCTTCCCTCCCTCCCTGCCTCTCCCCCAGCCCCGACCCGGATTGGTGGCCGCTCGCAAAGTTTGCGCAAAGTTTGTGCGATCTCCGCCCGGTTTCCGTTTTCCTCCTCCGGAGAGCCAGCGAAGGACTAATCCTGCCCCCCAGCCCACCCCGGGCTTGCGTCGGGCGGCGCTGCTTACAAAATCGGCGGCGGAATCGCTTCGCAGGCGAAGCATGGAGCGCTGCGAAGGGGAAGAGCCGGAGGCGGCCGAGGCGCCGCCGGGGACGCGCCTCTTGCTGGCCTTCAAGGCGTTCCTGAGCTCCCGCAAAGGGCTGCTGCTGCTGGCCCAGGCGGTAAGCGCGGGCGTGGGGGGGGGGGAGGCAGGGGAACGGCGCTCCCCATTGCAAAGTTCAGACAAGGGAGCTGATCGGGTGGGGAAGGCAGAGCGGTGAGCTCACCTCTGCCAAAGAAAGGGAGAAGCCCTGGCCGGGCGCAGCGTTCAGACGACGCTTTCTTGCAACCACCGCGCCTGGAGGGGGGAGTTTGGCAATCTTTGCCAAAGCGGGGATGATTGCCAAGGGGTCGCTTCCTTGGAGAAACCGGGGAGAATTTTCCTCCCCCCCTCCAAGATAGACCTGCCACGCCCCCCCTCCCCCGGCGGAGCCCCTTGCGTGTTGCACACCCGCGAGAGAAGGCGGCGTTCCCACGACACGCTGCGCTGCGACGCTCCCAGCCCCGTTCTAGCAGCGTTATGGAGTGGGTTTTCCCAACACACACTTATGCCCAATCTTGAATTAATCGGGAATAACAGAATAAAAGCACCACCAGGGGATATATTTCCTAAGATGGTTGGGTAATAGGGGAAACAGCAACGTCTGGACTCTGCAGAGCTATCCAGCTGAGCTCTGGAGGAGCAGGGTGATGGGACTGACTCAGTCCGAGAAATAGGAGGATCCTTGATCTGTAAGAAGATGAGGAAAAACTACTGGAAAACTCACAGAAGTTCAGAAACTGTTACCATACTAGTTTTACATTTTCCTAAACCGGAGTTTGCTTGACTGTAGTTCATTGGAAAAAAATGCACTGGCTGACAAAGCAATGCACAGACATAGCAAAACGCATGGTGCCAAGTATGACATAATCGGTGTCAGTTCTAGTCCCGTAATGTAAGATTTCTGCAGCTTGCCCTAAGCCTCTTCAGACCTGACAACCAGCAAGGTTATGAATGTGGCTTGCTAAAGCCAAACCTAGTGAACATTAACCACGGATGTTTCAAAGGTGCTTTTCCGAAAAGCACCTGGACTGTCTTTGTTTTTATTTGAAGACGTTTCGCTTCTCATCCAAGAAGCTTCATCGGGTTCTAGCCAGAAGCTTCTTGGATGAGAAGCAAAACATCTTCAGAGAAAAAACAACAAAAGAAAATCCAGTTGCCTTTTGAAAAAGCACCTTTGGGACAACCATGGCCTGGATGACGGAGACTCTCCATAGATATTAACCACAGATTAAGGTGCTAAACCTGCTGAATCTATCATGCTAAACCTGCTGAATCTAGCCATATCAGGAAAGATGACGGGATTAACAAAAGCACAGATTTTAACTGCCTATCAACCGTAAGTAGCTCAGAAAAATCAGAAATATCTCCAAGAGGAACAATGGTAAGTAAATCAATCAAGCAAAAAAGTCACTCGCCCTTCCCATCTAATCTAGGAAAATTACCCTTTGCTCTTCTGTACCTGATTCTAAGATTCTGCGCAGGTTAGATAGGGAATCCTTGACTTATAATTGCAATTCCCGCCAGAACATTTGTTGCTAAGCAAGGAGTTTTTAAGTGAGCTTGTGCCTGATTTTATGACCTTTTTTGCCATGGTTATTAAACAAATCACTGCAGAAGTTAGGTGACTCAGATGGTGTTAAGCCTATCCAGCTTTCCCCCCATTGACTTTGTTTGTCAGAAGCTGGCACAAAGAATGATCACACACAACACTGCATCCATGGTAGATACATGCCTGTTGCCAAGTGTTTGAATTTTCATCTCGGGACCATGAGGATGGTGCGTTGGTCATAAGGGTGAGGACATGTCCTAAGTCACTTTTTCAGGGCTCTTGTAACTTTGAATGGTCGCTGAGCGGATGTTTATAAGTCAAGGACCACCTGGGTTTGCCAAAATCCAACAAATTCCCACTAGCAGTTACTGTTTTGTCTATTTACCCTGCTTTCTCTCTAAGACAGGGGTCTTCAAACTTGGCAACTTTAAGACAGTTTATACAACTTACTCGCAAAAACTTCCTGGATTTAAAAAAAAGATACAGGAACTGCTGGGCTTCTTGGAAGTCGTTCTGTCTTTTCGAGTTCTTATTTCACAGCCAGGCTGAAGTTTGCAGTGTTACTTTTTTCGCACCAGGCCCCTTTGCAGAAGCTAAAGGAATAGGAAGTGGTGTCCACCAACCCACAGACAGAGCTTGAGTTTGATTTTTTTAAAGAGTCTTTTAATTTAAAGAAACATTAAACAGAGCTGACAAGCAGCCAGAATGTCTCTGGACTCTTGGGTTTTCCATGAAGTCTTTTTAACAAGTTTTAAAAAAAAAATCTGGATGGAGGTCCGTGGCTGGTTTAGAAAGGGGTCTATTTGTCTCCTGTCCCCCAAAGGCAAAATTAATCAAATAATAGAATCTTTCAGAGGGTGAAACAGGAACAATGAGCAATAGTAAGTGGATAATTGGTGACCGGTCACATCTTCCACAACATCTGTTTTGTGAATGGCTAGGCTCCCCTGGAAACAGTTTTGTGAAAGCATCCACTGTGTGTTCTCACGATTTAGATGTAACCCATCATCTCTCATATCAAGCCAAGGTAGCTCTTTAGGCCCTAATATGCACAACTCACCAAAACTAGCACATAGGGTTTCATGTCCTCAAGAATTTTAGGGTCAACAACTTGCCAGGCGAGTTGCTGACTCTTAAAATGGCGAAAAGTGATGTTCAAGGGCTAATGCTAAACAAGCAATAGGTGGCAGCCTTAAAAGGAATCTGGGAGAAGTCGGAGAGGTGGGTTTGTTTTTTAAATATCTTCAAGTCAGTCTTGATACCTGGTGATTGCAGAGACAAGTCCATGACATAAGCCATGGTGGCACAGTGGTTAGAATGCATTATTGTAGGCTAACTCTACCCACAGCCAGGAGTTCGATTCTGAGCGGCTTGCATCCTTCTGAGGTCAGTAAAATGAGGACCCAAATTGTTGGGGCCAACGTGCTGACTCTATAAACCGCTTAGGGCTGTAAAGCACTGTGAAGCAGTATATAAGTCTTAAGTGCTATTGCTATTGCTACATTTCCTTGGCACCATTTTTTTTTTTTTTGGAAGAGGCTTGTCCTTGCACTCTTCTTAGGGCTAAGAGAGGCAGACTGGCCCCAAATCACTCACCTAGCTTCCATTTCTGTGGCAAGCCTGGAGCTCATGTTGTCCTGAGTTCTAGTCAAGCACACTTAAGCAGTATTAACTAAACCTCCTTAAAAAGAAGTTGAAGAGCCGTTCAAGAACATTCTGAGGGTGAAAGCAAACTTGGATACCAGTCGGGGTGGGATGGGATCTGCAAGAATACTGGGCTGAGTGGAGGCCAACAGATCCTCTGCAGCACATCTGCTCATGGGTAACCGCCACGCTCTTCCGCTTGTGTCCTTCAGGCTCTCTCCTTTACCATCTTCATCTGCTACATCGCTTCCACAGCTGCACCTTTCATGATGGTGCCGTTACTGACATTCCTGCTCGCTCTGTGCTTTTTCGTTTCGTATTCGCTGAAACTGAATGAGAAGTTCCGAGGCATCTATTGGCTTTTGGCGGTAAGTAGCTGAATGGGGTTGACCGCTGCTTGTGATGCAGTTATCAGATGGGCTGGCAGGGTGATTTTGCTGTAGAATAACCAAAGGAACCAGGGAAGGAGAAGAGGGAGATGGTATCACTTCAAAGCATGTTGAGGTTGTGTTTCCATCAGTTCCAGACAACCTGATGATGGGTAGGGAAAAGAAACAACTGGTATTTTGTGCTGCTATTACCTTGAGAGTTCCTCCTGGAACCTGAGATACAGAACACAAAGCACTCCATGCCTGGAGTCAGATGCAGGTAGTCCTTGACTTACGGCCGTAATTGAGCCCAGGAGTACAGCCGTAAGTTGTGCTGGTCATTAAGCAGGTCACCGTTTGACCACGCTCAATATTACATCCTTTTTTTGCAGCAATTAAGTGAATCCCCACACCCATTAAGTGAACACCATGGTCATAAAGCAACTCCATTGTCCACAATGAATGTTTTTTTTGCCAGAAACTGGAAATAAATGCCGTTTTCCAGGGGGAGGGGGAAAGTCATAAATCAAGGATAGATGCTCATAGCACACTGTAAATAGCCATAAATGTGAGCCGGTTACCAAGCCCCCCCCCCTGCCCCCACAAAAAAAATCACATGACTGTGGTGACCATTGGAACTTCAAATCCAGGTCATAAGTAGTCTTGGGAAATCCATCATAACTTTAAACAGCTGTTAAGTAACCAGACATAAGTCAAAGACTACCTGTATTCTACTGCATTCCACAGGTGGCTTTTGAGCAAGCTACCTTTGAAATCTGCTTTCTGAATGATGGGTGGCCTTGCCTGATGGTGAAGCTGGTTGTGATACTGAAAACCCTGCCAGATCTTGAGGAAAACAATCGCTTAAGAGCTTCCTCGTTCTCCACGGTGACCGCCAGGGGATGCTGGCCTTCCAGGAAAACTTACTTTGCAAAACAAAACAGGGGGAGAAAAATACAGCACTGCCGTTGAGTTTTGTTCCACCCCATTTGTTCATTTATTTTCCATTAGCCATCTAATTTACGGTCAAAGACTGCTGTGCTGTAACTCAGATATATAATAATAACTGAGATATTAACCTAGCTGAGCTCTGTAATTCAAATGCCAGTGGTTGTCATCCCCACTAGAAAAAAGAAAGCAGATTTTCTGCAGGCCATTTACATTTGCCTTTCTTCCTTGTGCAGGGAAAAGAAGGCCAGTTAAATGTCTGTGTACTCCAAATATGGACATTGTATTAACATATTTCAGTAATCTCTTTCTGGCCTTCAAAGACTCGGCAGCCCCTGGTGACCAATCTGATTCCTCTTAGTTCAAGGAATAGAGGATTTTATGCTGTGTCCCAGCCAAAGCATTGCTGCACCATCTCATAAATGCTGGGCACAGGACACCCAACAATTAAAGGAGACTCTTGCCACTTATCCCAGCAAGGAGTAAGGATCTTCACCAGATCCTGGCTGGCTGACCGAGTTTGTCAGGAGTTGTGATCTTGACACATCTAAAGTACACCAGGTTGGAAAAGGCTGGCCAGAGCAGAACTAGTGGGTGAGCTGTGGACCTCCAAATATGACTGAATAGTTGCAGGGATCCCTAATAAATCTGACCACAGCTGGTTCAGTCCGGTGAAAACTATAGAGTTCAGCAAACAAGTGAAGTGCCTCAGATTTCCGCATGTAAACTTTTTGTTTATCTTCTTCATAATCTTCTGTTTTGCAGGATTTTTTGTGTGGAATTATTGCTGCTATCATATATTTTGCCATCTCCATTGCTGCTGTTTCTAAATATACGGACACTGCATCGAAGGCAGCGGGGGTAAGCTTCCATTTCTGAGCAGAACTTTGTACACAATGTTTTTTTCTCTCAGCACAGTTAATTTCACAAACCATGCTGGCTGGGGAATTCTGGGAGTTGAAGTCCACAGGTCTTAAAGGTTGCCAAGGTTGGGGAACCCCTGGACTAGAAGATTTCCAAGGTCACTTTCCCATTCTGTTATTCTGTAGTCTTTATTTTGGATGCAAGAGATGAAGACAAGGGAGTCAAGACTAGCAGTGGAGACACTGGATGGGGGCTGAATTCTGTTATTTCTTCCCATTTTAGTTCTTTTCCTCTTCTCCCCCCCCTCCATATTTTAAAAACTCATGTTTTCCGTATCTCCTCTATCTTGATCTTCAGGTGTTTGGTTTTATTGCTACCGTCGTCTACTGTGCCTATGTCTATTTCACCTTTAATGACCTGGCAACATTTTTAAAGCAGGAAGATTCCTCCGAGACCCCCAAACCACAGAAGTCAGAAAGTAGGTTTGAATTGTTCTTGTGTTGCTATTCAGCGTTTCAATGCAACATTGCTACCTAATGATTTGGTGCAGTTGAGGTTGAAGTTCACGCATCTCAAAAGTTGCCAAGTTTGAAAAATACTGCTCTGGTTTAATGTAAATGAAAAGCTACAATTAACATGGTTACTTCCCATTTATTAGTTGTCATCTACTACCACCTTGCATTTAAAAAAAAAAAGTCCATTCCCTATTCTTAGTATCACAGTTATTCTTCATGTCACTTTTTTTTTTTACAGATGACTCAGATTCAGATTCCGACTGAAACCTCAATGGAAAAGGAGGAAGGTGTAAAGAGGAAAAGAACAAAAGCAGAGGAAAAATGAATGTTTTGAGTATTTTAATCTTTTTCAGTGAACTTGAATATTTTAACAGTGAATTTTACGGATTGTTGTTACAACTGGGATCACCAGAATCATGCTGGGAACATTATTGTGTGTATAATTTACACTGAAAAAGTGGATCTACTGCTGAGGCTCATTCAGCATTGCAGTAGACTTTTCCAGCCGAACCCTTTATGAACAGACTCCTTATGTTATCGGGGTGTATATAGTGTTTATTAACATCATAAAAACATGGACTTTCTTTAGTAGTAAGTAGACATCCTGATCAAGTTTACAAACTTTATTAGTTCTTTAAAAAAAAAAGTTTTCTACTTATACCAAGGTTTTTGTTCTTGAGTTCAGAAGACAATAGCTTGCTTATTTGTTAGAAGGGGCTTTATTGTCAATTTTAAAACTTAGACCGAATTTAAACTCAGGACAAATTCAGCAATAATGGAAATATGTTTAAATCCCTCATGAATAAAGCCAAAGTAAGATGTTTCCTTAAAATCATGTCACATAGTCATTAATTACATGCCTAGACATACCAAGCCTCGTTTTAACAGATCATTCCTCAAGGCCAATCAAATCTTTATTACAGTCATATACCAGCATAAGAAGGGTGAAATATGAACAACAATTTAATAGATAGAAGATAGATAGAGACTGGGGGAAGATTACAGTTAAAAAAAAATAAAGACTAAAAAATAATGTATATATATCATTTAGATTTTTTTAATGTTTTAACTTTATAAATTATTGCTTGTATTCTGGCCTATGACTATAACCAAGATTTGATTTGATTGACTGATAGCTCCACCAGTAATTATGAGAGGTGAGCTATAGAAAGCTATGCAAGACCCAGTGGCCTTTTTTTGAGATGGACAAATTACCAAAAAGAATCTTAAGTATAGTGTGTGAACAAGACAGTCCTGCACCTTCTGGTTGTTTTTTTCCCCCTCCCATATACCAGCAGTCGTTAGTCCACACTTAACAGCTGCTCTGTTTAGCAACGGCTCTAAGTTATGACAGTGCTGAAGAAGTACCTTCACAACCATTGCAGCATCCCTGCAGTTTTGTGATTGCCATTTGCGTACTTTGCAACCAGCAGGTGGTTTATGAACATCACAGTCCTGCAGTCCACATAATCATTTGTGCCCTTCACAACCAGCTTCTGACAAACAAGAGTCCATGGAGAAGCTGTCAGTAAAAATCCAAGTCGTAGTCGCTTGACGTCTCGCTTAGTGACTTGGGGTGACTCAATAACCACAGCAGAAGTGAGGGCACGCAAGTCTGTTTTAGTCACATGATGTTTCCCTTAACAACTGCATTGCTTAGTAAGAGTTGCCAGTCCAAATAGTGATAGCTCAACAAGGGCTAATAATGAAGGAAACTATGATGCAATATATCATTACACCATATTTAATATGCTTAGTACCAATTTGTATTAGTTTTGCAGCTAGGTTCAGTTATCAAGACAAAGCAAACGTGACTTTTGATAAATCCTGCAGGCGGGTCCTAAAAATAAAAGGAAAGACTCAGCAGGCTGACTTCTGAACTGGGTTAACGTAACAGTTCCGTATATGTTTCTCTGGAATTCCCCTGAGGATCGTTTTACCGTCTTTGCTTCTTTTTATATAGTCATTTGCATGTGGTTTAATCTGTGATATTTTTTTTTTCCAATTGACGGTAACCTAGTGGTGCAGGTTAAACGGAACAAGGAATGCATTTTGGAACTGTAGGTGGAGTAAATCTATTTTCATTTTAAGGTGTTCACTAGCTTTCATATTATTTAAATATCTGCACTATCTGGAAAGATCTGGGTATTTTAGATGTGAGAACAATCATAATGGCCTATTCTTGGTTACGTTAATAACTTTTATATTAATCTCATTCAGGGAAACAATTCAGGCCTTTTCTTGTTCAAAATAATCTTTGCATTACAGATTTCAGACCTATTTTGGTCTATAATTCAGATACTTAGTCACAATGGGATTCAAAACCTGAATAATGTGCAAAGTTGCAGGGGACAAGTATTTTTGATCAGCTGATGAAAAACAATGTCCAAGAACTAACATTTGATTATAAAATTGGAACATTGCAGAAATGGAAAGAGAAAGGGTATGCAGTGTTTCACTGGCTGGCATGTAGCGGTAATGTATCTGTGAAAATCAATACTAACAGAATCATAAAAACGAAGGCTATTAAGTCTTAATTTGTCTGTTTCTTAAATAACATCTCTGGAATATAATTTTACCTGTACAAATTTAATTCCGGAATTTGTACACTGATACAAATGCTTGATTTAAGATTAGGGTAATCTCAGGTTATGCCTAAAACAAATCAGAAACAGCATAAAAATAAAGGTATCCAGAAGCCACTTCATTTACAGTATACAAAATGAGCAGCTCAGTTCCATTGTATTTACTTGCATGATTTAGACACAGTGGTGTGATTCAGCCAGTTCGCACCACTAAGGCAGAACTGGTAGCTAATTTTTTGTTGCCCAGGCCCAGAATGGACTTCTAGAAGCGGCATCCACACAGAGAGCTGGTTGTTCACATATATGAATCCCACCACTGTTTAGACATACATGCTGCTTATAAAGTGACTGAGAAATGGGTTAATGATTTGATTATGTGAATCTTATGCTATCGAATTTTGTAATCTTTTGATACTATGTTAGTCTGTTTTTACTGTAAGTGTATTTTATTAAAAAGGTACTTTTGCCTCAAGCCATTTACTTACTGTGCAATTGAATCCGCAAGGTATTCGCATCAAGGGAAATTTGATGGGTATCCATAATTGGCCAAGTAATGGTTTAAGTTTTTTTAAAAATAAAAAAAAATTAGCCGCTTACATATAGAGAGAAGTTGCTAACAGTAGTAAGGGTTGCATGAGAGTTGAACAATTATACATTAAAGCTGAGGGATTCAATCAGAAGATACTCCTCTTAAACTTGGAACATCAAGATCCATTGATCAAGGCAGGTAATCTTTCCCTAAAAGATACTTATGATCCTGTTCCAAAGTTACAATGGACACACACACACTCCCCACAGTCATCCTTTCAGATGCTTGGCAATTGGCCTGCATTTATCATGATATAATCGCAGTTTACATTTTTGCTGAATCTGGCTTTTACTTCTGGTTTTCATCAAAAGCACTCCATAGCCAAGAATAGGACTAGATTAACCACACACAAAAATCATAAAATCAGGTCACTCTTGGTGACCCGCTCTCACAAGTATAATGAACAGGTTTCATTATGGTTGTAAGTCAAGGACTACTTGTAGTATAAGAGCTTTTCCTGGTTATCTGAACATATACAGTCAAGTACATTACGATTCTTTGGCCAACTAAGGCTTGGTTTGCCAAAAAAATTCAAACTCTCCATAGGAATATCAAACAGGTTTTCTTCTTCTTGTTGTGCCATATCCGTTATCGGACGTTGGCAATCATGTTGCCGATCCTGTTTTTATCAGTAGCCGCACGAAAAAGTGCTGCTGAGTTTTGTCCAAACCAGTCCCTTAGATTTTGAAGCCACGATGTTCTTCTTCTGCCTGGACCTCGTTTGCCTTCAATCTTTCCCTGGAGGATTAAATGGAGTATGCCGTATTTTTCTGGTGTCGCAGAAATATTCTAATTTTCATTTTTTTAATTGTTTTGATGATTTCCCTTGGCTTTCCCAGGCGGCTTATCACCTTCTCATTTCTGATCTTGTCCACCCAGCTTATACGTAACAGCCGCTTGTAAATCCACATTTCAAATGCTTCTAGTCTCTTCAGGTGGCCTTGTGTCAGAGACCAGCTCTCTAGTCCATAGAGCAGGATAGAAAAAATATAACACCTAACAAGCCTGACAGATTTTCTAGATGGAATTAAACAATTGGGTCTAAGTTTACCAAGGCACAAACAGTCAACAAGTGAAGACTTTTATTCCTACCCATTTATTAAATCCTTTACAATGTTTCCATATGAGATTAGTACTCAGAAAGCTTATGATTTTTTCCTACATACAAAAATACAGGTTTTTTAAAAACACACAATGAAAGTAGGCAAATACCATGAGAATTTTATAGAATCCGATATCCTGGTGTATCCCCCCAAAAAGGTTAAAAATAGTATAAATCAAAAGGCAGAAAGATACTCCTATTAAATTTTACATTACCCAGAATAAACCATGCCAATATACAAAGCAAAAACTGATAAAATACACCACATAGGAATAAATTTAAAAACAAGAACTGACCAAGCAGCAATTTGGTGATTGCCTTCAGTTAAGTAAAAAATCATTACAATCCTTCATCCTGAAGTTTATAGAAGTAGAATAATATTGGAAATTAAAAGTGCATGGCATATCAATGCTATTTGTCTTCATGAAACTTTGGAATGGTTAAACATCTCATTCACGCAACAGATAGAAATCCTCGTATGGAATGTCAGAGAATGTTTTTATGCAGGAAGAAACATTTTCTGCACTCAATTGTTTTTTCCTGGTACTAAAGCAAAAGGCCGTACAGATTGTCTAAAACCCCAGGAACTTTGTGGAATATGGTTAACTTTTGCTCTGGAATGACAAAGACTGTGTTTTTCAACCTCAGCAACTTTTAAGATGTGTGGACTTCAACTCCCAGATTTTCTCAGCCAGCTTGAAGTTGCTGAAGTTGATAAACACTGAACTAATGGGTTACTACAGGCGGCACTGTTTTCTACCCACATTTACTATGCTGATGTTGCTATGTTAGAACTAGCAAATTCCTGAATTGGCCAACCCTATTATCAATATTTAGAGTATGCAGATGCAAGATTCATTCATGTATTCTTGAAACTGCCTAATAGCAGTTTCTGAACCATTTGTAGGCACGCAACCTTCTGTTGGTCAAACAATGTAGTCTCAAGGCCACTGAAATGATATTCGGATCAAGTCTCCGTTGACCGTACTGCAAAATGTTTCCCAAACTGCAGTGCTTAGCATGGGATGTCAATCCAGACAGCAAAGCAAAGGATGCAGATGGAAAATTACGTGCTAGCCACATGATCTTGAAAGTAGATTTTCTTTCTGAACAGATGTGATTTTCTGCAAGATAAAACTTTGAAAACAACCCATTCTATCTGATACAATGTAAGCCACTTTGGAAGTCCTTGGTTTAAAAAGCTGATTCAGCTCACCAGCACCAGATTTGTAACTGAAACCATATTCAACTTTAGATCTAATTATATTTACCGTAACTCAAATCCACAGCATTAAACAATTTCTTGCAATTTTTTTTTACAAACTGCTAGTATGGTAACTGTAAGCATAAGTTTGAAATAGTTGTTTTTTTTAAAAAAAAAATTGAGTCCATGGGACTATACTTCAATGATATTTCATGCTATATAATCAAGCTTTTCTAACTCTTTCTTAGTAGGAATGTTCATTTCATAATATCTAACAACTTTAGACATGATACTTTAAATACAGTTTAACCCCAGAAGGAAAAGATCAAACTGAAGTCATTGTCTTTAACCAAAGTATTAGCTCATTGAAAATCTTACTTAGGTAATATTTTTGGTCACAAAGTTTGATTTCTGAAAAAAACACAGTGCCAATGCCTTGGAGTGAGTATTGAAACAAAAAAATCCTCCCAAAAAAATCAAGTGCAACTTGGTATATATTTGAAAGCATTTTAAATTAAGGAAAAGATTCTCTCTTTAAGTAGTGGTGCCCCTTGTTTCATAATAGCACTTGGGCTACCCCAGGAATTGACAACTCCATCTTGTTTCAACTTGGTCCCTGTCAACCAAAATCCATATTTTTTATACACATTCTCTACACGTACCAAAAGGCTTACATTGCATGTTAAACACATTAGAGTTTACCCATAGCAATGCAATGTATTTTTCAACTTCTGCCAAGAAAGCAGAGGCTTTAAAAAAAGGCTGAGGAATCCATTAAGGCAGGTGTTCAGCAGAACTCAAAAGTGTGTTTAGCAATTTGTGATTATAAAAATAGTGTTTGTAAGCAAGGATCTCTGAGAAGGGTTGATGCCATTCACACACAAATGAGATTCGTACAAAGGCACCCTAGCCAAACTGGGACAATACAATGAACAATAAATATACAGTTTACTATCTCATTATCGTATTATATCTCCATTTCATAAACCTCAATATATACAAATAGGTTCCATCCACAATAATGCAGAAGAGAAGTATCCACATAAGACAACTTAAGTGCATCTTTTATTCTAGGTTGATTAATGTATGGGATTAGCAGAGTCACTAAAACAGGTGTCCAAATTAAGATGCTCGCTTCCTAACACAAGTTATTCTTTTTCATCTCAAAGTGCTCTAACAACAATGCATAGACGTCCAGGAGCACCCATAAATATATACATTCCAGTCCCAAATATGAACAGTGGACAGAGATAATGTATAATGTACAGTACTGTAAAAGTTGTACAGTCCAAGTTATTCTACCTCTAAGCAGGCTCTGTTTAAAATATTTTTACCTAGGGTTCTTATACACCACCACAAGACTTCTTGATAGCCAGAAATAAGCTAGAACTCACAATGCCATCTTAGATATCCCAAAAGGTAATTTATTTATTTATTTATTTATGAGACTTATATACCGCTTTAAGTGCAAGCACTCTCTAAGCGGTGTACACCAGTAAGCAATGTATATATATATATTTAATTCTCGAAATGCAACTGGACTTTCTTGGGTTTTTTTTCCTTGAAAACATTTCATTTCTCCTCCAACAAGCTTCTTCGATTCTGACTGAATGGTGGGGAACAGAAGGATTGAACTGACAGAAAGGATTGAACTAACAGAACCGTGGAAGCGTCTTGGAGAAGAAGCAAAATGTGATGATTGAGAATCTTCAGAGACATTTTGCCCTCTTACTGTAGATGCTTTTATCTGATTTTATCCCAAATTAAGCACCAGCAAATTCACTCAAGTAGCTACACCAACTTTCCCTACCTACCAGGTGGTCTTGACCATGCTAGCTGAACGTTGTGGAATTGTTCTCAGTGCATTCAAATGGTCCTTAATGTGGAGAGAAGACTTTTAGAAGCAACAGAACCTTAAGAAAAATGAATGATTTGCTGGCAGAACTGCCCACTCCTATCTTATGCATAGGGCCAAACGGATTAATAAGGGAAATCATTCTCTAGTCAAGGGAAACCAGACATACGGATTCTGTTATTGTTTGCACTCCTTCTAGTATTAACTCAATATTGTAAATAAGGCAAGTCCAACTTCAAAACATTAGTTTGCTAGAAATATTACAAATAGTGGTTTTTTAAAACGTTATTACTCTCCATCTGTTTATTTCTGGGGCTCAGGAGGCATCTGAATTAAATTAACTACAGAAAGTGAACTGATTTTTCCAAAATCAATCACAGCTGTCAAGAGGAGGGATAGGAATAGATTTCACTTCAGCTTCTTAGTTTTCATCTATGGGTTATTAGTATGGCTGTAAAGACAGGCCTAAACTAAATACCGCAAGCCGCAACTATAACAATCTAGATGTTCTATTGGGTCCTTACCTCTTCCCAATTAACTACAAAATAAAACCTGACCACAGACGTTAAAATACACCGAGCACCTTTTTCCATGAAAAGCATAGGTAATTAACACCAAAAATGCAATGTTCTGTCTCATAAAAATAGAATGTCTCATTAAAAGAGTACTATGCAAATCGTTTTTTTTCCTCGCTAAAAACCACATATTCTTCAAATGGAAAAGAGCCATCCAAGTCCGTGTCATTGCTAAAGAGTATATAGCCATCCTTCCAGAACATTACTTTAATCATATTTTTATAAACATTACTTGATATTACCAGAGAGACTTTAGGCTAGGTAAATAATTTCCAACATTCATCCAAAATGTGATATATCGATGTGTTTAGTCATCAGGAGCTTTAGAAAACCAACAAGATTATGTTGCTTGTGTACATTCCTAATGCAGTGCTAATACCAACCATGTAGTTGAATGGCTGATCCCATGGAAATATAAAATAATTACTACCTAGGATATACAAACATTACTTCTTCCCCGAATTTGTTATTGTAGTATACAATATTCATATTCCCAATCACAGCTGCACTGCATCTTACGGAGGGTGGGTTTCTACTTAAATTACAAGTCTTGAATGAAAAGTAATGCCTTCAGCAGTATATGTTACTGCCTGCATATTATAAACATATTGTTTACCATCTGTTTTTCCGCTTCAATTGGTAGAAAATTACGGAGAGGAAAAAAAAACTGTCTTGCTATTGTTTGTGAAATGGAACCTTGCAGTGGGAGTTCGTACTGATTGAATTTTTGACTGCCCATGGAGTCCCACAACAAAAATTCACTGTCAAATGGAAGTTGTTAACAGTGATGACTATGTTGACCCTGGTACTGTTAGTTACTGAGCCAAAAAAATAAAATAAAATAAAAAGTGAAGTTGTAAATGCAAAGATGATGAATTGGGAAGAGCTGATTTGTATGAGCAAGACTGAAGTGCACAATTTATGATAGAAGAGTTTACATAATCGGTTGATGAACCAATTAAGAACAATCAGCAGATCAAAGAGAAATGGCTGTCAACCATGTTGTTCCACAGGATGGTAGGTCACTATATTGTATAAATGGCATATAAATTAAATAAACCATATAGCTGGCTATGTTCACTGGCCAAAATAAGACATACTTCAAACATGCCTAATCTGACACCCGGAAAGGTATCGTTTAAGTGCCTTACCAGGTAGACCAGACAGAAATCTCAACCAGATTCTAATTCTATTTTTAACAGAATCAAACAGATCCAGGGTGGGTCTCTTCTGAGCTTCTTGACCATCCATTATCCAGCTTCCAACTCTGCTATCTCTTATCTGACCGTTCCCTGGAAAGCAGCTCCTCACTCTGTTTCCCAAAGTTTTCCCCACATCTCATTACAATAACAGCTTAACTTAGAAATATATTTCTCCCAAATTTGGACCATTAAAAATTAGCAGCCAAACCAATTAAGTTCTCAGGGCATTATATCATTTTAGAAACATAGCAATCCGTGGACACAAAACAAATGTTCTTAAACCCCTGACCACAATAAGGTTTTCCTGTAGCTGAACATAAAAGGGGAGGTTGTTTAGATAAACAACCGCAATGTCTACTTTGTGATTCTTTCGAAGTTAAAAAAAGGGAATGAATGTAGCAGATGACAGAATTGAATATCAGGTCGTACCTAAATTGTAACCACAAATGGAGTGTGCTTGGTGTTTTCTTTGTAGTCAAAATCATTAGTGAATATTACCTGATCCACCAGCTAAAAGTCTAATATAGCCAGCTGCTTGTTGCAGAGACACAGCGAAACTGTAGGAGTACGAGATCAAAAATTAACCTGGAAAACTTGTTGGAAAATGTACGTAGCAGTTTCATAATCCAATACCCAATTTATATTCTTTCTATCTTTCATCTCAGTGCATGATGTTGAACATCAAAATTATGTTTCAAAAATACAATCTATTGCTAGCATTAATTCTACTTGTCTGGATGTTAGAAATAGGCATCATTTTCTCCACTCTGTTGTATTCCCATTCTCCATTATTTATGGGCAAAAAAAAAATATGCAATTGTCATTATAGGCTTCATATAATTGCTTCTTAATCCACCTCCTTCTCTTTATACATGCTCTTGGCCATCACATTCTCCTTTATTGCCTGTAAAAAACTCTCATCAGCATCTTCTTTTCTTTAAAAAAAAATGTCCACGGGCTTTTTAAAAAATCTTTTTCAGCAAATTCCCGTTTTTCACCCATCCAGACGTTGAATCTCTGGACGGTTATCTACTTCTCTGGATTCTGTCCGAGCACGTATATAGTCACTGGTCTGTCGCGTGTTTTGCTGGCTATTGGTGTTTCTCCAATTTTTAACTGCTAAAAATGAATTCACAGCATAGACTGCGGTTGCCAAAAAACCAAATATCTAAAAAAGAGAGAAAGAGAACAATTGTTTGAAGAAATAGCAGGTAACACTTAACAAAATATGAATTATAAATAAGCAACTGCCTTTTGCTGTCTTTAATACTGGTGTCCTGTTTGAAGGACAAATTATAATTTTATCACACAGATAACGTTTCATAAAACTTCTTGGAACACAAGGAGTGAATACTTAATTGTATATTTGGGGCATTTTTTTTATTCTATTGGTAACTTTAATAGGAAATCAAACAGGCATGTGAAAAAAATAGCATCCACATATTTCAAACATTTTCAAGAAATCCTGCAGGGTAGCCATTTATCCATCCATGTGGTTTTTGAGCTAAAACTCAATTCCATTAAAAAAACAAAAAAAACCTTAAGTAACTTAAACATGTGATGACAGGAATTATTTATTTTCCATTAAAGTTTTCATGTCCTCTAGATTTTTAAGATATAAGTCCCAGAATTCTGCAGGCAAAAATTATGGAATTGTAATTGTGTAAGAAGTCAAGATTAGCTTACACCATAACACTGCAAAATTCTTTTGCGAAACAGAATTTCTCATTAACGAAAGTACCAATATACCATTTGCAAATCCAGTGATACGTGAAGGTTTAATGAAGTGTTGGTTTGCAGCCCCTTCCTGAGACTCCTTCAAGGAACAATGATTAAATACATGGAAAGTGATTATTAACTTTAAACAGTGTGGTATCTGGCGTATCACTCAAAGGCAAAGTGCAGTCTTACACACACATACGTGCACATGCCCACACCCACATCCACCCACCCACCCACCCACACACAAAGCTACAAACCCCTGATCTAATCAGAAAAAAGCTTGCCATGATTTTCACTTTAGGGCAGTTTAAAAATCTTCGTCATTAAGCTGAATGTTTAAAATTAAAGCCAAATGAGATGGATCATTTATATATTAATAATCTAAAACGGTCAAATATATCGGCATTGACACGATTGTAACAGCCAACATAAAGACAACCCATTTTGCTTCTTGAGGCATTGACTTCAAACAAAATTGGCTATCTTTAGGCTGAATGCTATATGACAAGAGAGAAATTCTAAACAGCAATCCACCAATCAGAATAGAGTGGGACCTTGGAGGTCTTCTAGTCCAACCCCCTGCTCAAGCAGGAGACCCAGCATAAATTAATCTGGATGGCAGTTTGCTGTCGAAAGTGTATTGAGAGAAGAGACAAATATTTCATCTTTTCAACAAGGGAATGAAAACAAATCAATGTTTTCTTACCACCGCTGCAATTTCTGCACCTTTTTTATGGTTTAAAGCTGCAAGTACTATCGATGCAATGAAGAAGAAGAAAGTGCAGATTCCAGTATTGACCAAATCCTATAAAAGCAAAATTACAGATATTATATCTTAGAATATTAGACTAGAATATTCTTTATTGGCCAAGGGTGATTGGACACACAAGGAATTTGTCCCTGGTGCATAAGCTCTCAGTCAACATACAAAATAATATAAACATAGGATACCAACAGGAGAAGGTAGAAGAACAGATGAGAAAGATGATATAGTAATACAGCCACGCTATGTGGGTAAATATTCTTAGACATAAGACAATGCTGTGGTAATTCGTCATGGCACAAGAGAAAAAACTGTCTTTGAGTCTAGTTGCTTTGGTATGCAATGCCCTACAATGCCCAGCATGCTAAGGGAAAAAGTTCAAACAGTTTATGTCCAGGATGTGAGGGGTCTGTAAATGTTTTCTCAGCCCTCTTTCTGACCCTTGCAGTATATAGGTCCTCAATGGAAGGCAGGCTAGTTGCAATGGTTTTTTTCTGCAGTCCTAACTATTAGTCGAAGTCTGTGCCTGTCATAACATCAACTGAGTTGATGAAGCAGGACTGTTTGCATGCCATTACTTTATGTCAGACTGCAACTCCACAGAAAAATACACATTACACACTCCTATAATTGCTGCATGATAGTGAAGAAAAAGTATTACTTAACAAAACAAGGGCAATTTCCTCTTTTCTTTATTCCAATACTACCGAACCCACGAAACATTCTTCCAGCCACAAGAATATTTTATAACTTAGCTACTGATATACAAATAGATTGCTAACTCTGTCGAATCTAGAAAACTATCTGTATGCCTGCCACATATCTCTTACTGCATTATATGTTGCAGGATCTCTGTAAAATGCTAATTTTGTTTATATGACATAGTTTTAGCATAAAGGGACATTTCTCTATGTCCTAGAGGATCTTTTAAAATATTATTCATTCCTGAAACAACAAATCATTCAGTAACTTCTGCAATTCAGTTTCACAGACTTCCTGTTTAGCGATGAAGCTCAAATGATTTTAAGCTCACTGAATTCCCAACTGCATAACTGGTATACCATTGTCCACATTTATCATAATTTTAAAGAATTAGAACCAGTTCTTGTTAGAAGCTTGTTAGATACTTTGTAGACTTACCAATACACTCAAAAAGAAAGAGAGAGAGAAATGCACACCATTCAGTTTATTTCATCATAGATTTCACAGGTTATAGACAAGTGCTTAGCTAATATACCTGATCTTCCAATAAAGAAATAGTGGGAATTCACTGTGTACGTTTATTACAGAAATATGCCAAGATCACTTTTTTAGTCCAACCAGAACTGATATGAGAGAGAGAGAGAGAGAGAGAGAGAGAGAGAGAGAGAGAGAGAGAGAGAGAGAGAGAGAGAGAGACAGAGAGAGAGACAGATCCAATTTGAGATTGCCAACATCAGCTCAAGTTAGCTTTTCAAAGGGTAGATTTACTTCTATAGCAAGTACGTTTTGATGCAGGAAATATTTACATACACAGTCTATTTAAATTAATTGATGTTTATATATAAATGGATATATCCAATAACCACATAGGGAAAGCTCTTTTAAATGGATAACTACAGATATTTCAGACAGCTAAACAGTAGCCACATATGTAATCGTGAAAACATTAATTGGATTAATGTGGAGAAGAAAATGAAAGTGTTAGTGTATATTATTAAGAAATTAATCAGCATCAATTGCTGAGTTTTTAAAAAGTTACTTAAAAAGTATGGGGTTTCACCACAGAAAAGTTGGATTTTATTTGCACCTGTCAACACTGTGTTCAATGCTTCAAGCCACAATCTGCTGCTTTAAGATTTACCCACACCAAGTTAAGACATCCTAGTTATCTTGACTTGCTACTGTTAAAGTAATGTCAACGCTATGACAAACCGAATTGAAGCCATTTTCATTTGTCTTCGTTGCCACATATTTAGTTAGAAAAAGGAGGGAGGGGTCTAGTTCTCAGTTAGCCAAAACAATTCACATCTATGGGAACCAAGGTCATTGCTGATAACACTTTGGTGGACTGGATTTTGTAACCTAGGGGAGGCAAATTTAGTCTTGGGTTCACCTTTGTATGTGCCCTTATGTTGTAGCCAAATAAAAAAGGTTTTTTAAGGAAGAAATTCTTGCCCTGAAGTTCTTTTAAATGGTCTCATCTATCGAAACCATGACAAGTAAACTCAAAACAATTTTTGGAAGGCTATCACATGGCTTATTTGAAATCAAGGAACTTGTTTAATTATAGTGGATCACAGCTTTCTCCAACCTGGCATTGTCCAGATATAATGAGACTGAAACTCTTACAATTCCTAGGCAGCATAGAAGCAGAATGGGACAACTAGCTGCAGCCAACTTGCCATGGCCAATCTGCTGCAGGACAACTCAATAATTCAGTGTAATTATTTAAAATAATTAAAACAATATTTTAATTTTTGTCATTCACATTTCATTTTGCATCCTTCCTTTAATGATTCTATTCTACCATTTCTTCGATATTAGTGCAATTCTTAATGAGTTGGCCAACGCAAATTGTCCTAGACTGACATAGAAGTTGCGTCTTAATTTATCTGATGGAGCTTGTTGAGGAGACCCGGCTTACAATAGGCAGTAGCTCCTAAATGAGCTAATTTGAATATTCTTTTCTGAAAAGAATTTTTTACAATCCCACCGCTTTGCTTGCTATTTGAGAAACTGATCAGTGGGCAAGGACAATATTTGAAGTCCATTTGGCACATATGCTAGTTTCTTTATGTTCCATATGCAGATTTTTTTTCCTGCAGCATCCTTTGCTCGAAGTGTGTAATAGCACTTCTGGCACACTACTTTGCCTTCCCTTTTAAATCTTTTTTTTTCTCTTTCCAATGCATTTGTGTTTTAATTATCATCTCTTGGATGCATCCTCATACCAAGTATTGCCAAGTTGTAAAGTCATAACATTAACTGGCCTTTCAAGTCATAAATATGCAAAATGCTTAAACAGCTTAAATTGCAGAAAAAATGGGTTCTTCTTTTTCTAAATGTGTGAAGAAAAGAAAATGTCCTGTTCTTATTTCACACACAAAATGAAGGGAAGGAGAAATCTGAAAAACAAGCTATTTTCTCTTTCATGAACCTTGTAATTTGGAGATGTAAAGAAAAGGTATTTGGTTACCCTGTTTCATACACACACACACACACACACACACACACACACACACACACACGGGGGAGAGGGAGGGAGGGAGGGAAGGAGAGACAGAGAGAGAGAGAAAGAGAAAGAGAGACTTCAGCATTTGCTATAAGGGCATTCATATAATTTATCTCAATATTAATTATGCAAAGGATAGGAAAGGATAAAAATGCAAAGGATAGCATTGCTACAATTAATTTTTCAGGAGAAAAGGTCAGTTGACAACATTTGTAATTTGGGAGGAGAGATGGACTAAGCTGATTGTGCAGTTCACAAAATATTTTAAAACTCAACAGATTGCCTGATTTTTTTTTTTTTGTATGCTAGGCAATTATGGGTTTTGTGTTGTTCTTAGACCCAAGCCAAGAGCAAGCAGATTTAGCCAAAACCAGAATATAATGGCAGAAGTTTCTACTTAGAACTATCCTTTATATTCTCCTACACAAAAACTATTTGAAGTTCTACTGAAGGAGACAAAAGAAGGGTTCAGTAAATCAATTGTAATAAAGAGGTTAGATGTGGAAAACTGACAACCGCTCCCTTTCAATATCCTTTGCATCTGAGATGGCCTGTCCCAATCCATGAACCTATGAGAACTGAAACAGGCAAGGAAGGTGTCAGCATTGATCAAACCAGACGGAACCCCTATATAACTGCCTAGCAGGTGCCTTCCATTCTCAAGATGATCAGGGACATACGAAGAACGGCAACGGGACTTGGGTTTGGCTAGTAGTCTAAAGAAAAGAAGAAACAGGGGAGACATGATAGCAGTGTTCCAGTATCTGAGGGGCTGCCACAAGGCAGAAGGGGCCAGGTTGTTCACCAAAGCACCAGATGGAAGGACGAGAAGCAATGGTTGGAAACTGATCAAGGAGAGAAACAACCTGGAATTGAGGAGAAACTGCCTGACAGTGAGGACAATCTTGCCTCCAGAACAACTTGCTTCCAGAAATTGGGGGCACTCCATCACTGGAGATTTTTAAGAGGAGACTGGACATTCACCTGTCTGAGACGGTATAGGTTCTCCTGCTTGAGCAGGGGGCTGGACTAGAAAACCTCCAAGGTCCCTTCCAGCTTCTATTCTATTCTATTCTATTCTATTCTATTCTATTCTATTCTATTCTATTCTATTCTATTCTAGGCTGGGAAAAGAACATTTGCTGTTCTTTTCTAGATTTCTAGATTTCTAGATAGATAGATAGATAGATAGGTAGGTAGGTAGGTAGGTAGGTAGGTAGATAGATGATAGATTTGCTATTCTTTTCTAGGTACATAGATAGATTTGCTGACAGACAGACAGACAGACAGACAGATAGATGACTTTTTTTCTGTCTGCAACAAAACCACCTATCTAGCACCAAGATTGCTTCTTTAATGGAGAGTGCAAATGGATAGTGGTGCCAGGCCCAAAGTCTGACAGCTAGATTCTGAGTTAGCTGTCGATTCTGTAATTTTAGAATGCTTTAAAATATGAAAGTATCCCCTCCCCAAAAAAATTACCTCAAAGAAAAAAAAATGCACCTCTTGGCCTACAGCAAGGAACAGTTTTTCACACCATCTATTTTCCATGACTAGACCAGCCTCCCTCTTACCAAACCAATGTTCTCATTCGGAGACCTCTCAACATTGATTTACGGCAACAGTGGTATTAATTTAAAGTCATAAGCAGTGAAATGACTTCTCTGATCCCTTTCCGTATCACAAAAACTTGTGGATCCCTCCTCAATCATTAGGTTTGGCCTTTTAGTCTTTCTCCTGAGCCCTATTTAAACTGTAAGGCTTTGAAGAGAAGCAAGCATCAATAAGAATATTTGTAGCTCAGAGCTGAAATGAGGGATCGTTGGTGCTCTCTGAGCTTGGTCGTTTCCTTGCAGACGTTTCATTTACCCAAACTAGGGAACAACATGATTTGCTAGTAGAGTGGTTCTCAACCTTTTTAATGCCGCGACCCCCCAACCGGTCGTAAGTCGAGGACTACTCAACCGGTCGTAAGTCGAGGATTACTCAACTGGTGCAGCACCGTTTGCAGAATGGGACTTTTGGCGGGCTCAGCAGGGCAGAGACAGCCTGGACAATTCCTATTGGCTTTTGAAAGCCAATAGAATTAGACTCTATTCAAGAGAGTCTATTCTATTGGCTTTCAAAAGCCAATAGAATAAAAGGGAGTAGCACAGCTAAGGAAAAGGGGGAAAAAATGGCGGACTGCGTTGTTTGGCGATCCCCGTGAAATGGTCGTTCGACCCCAAATGGGGTCCCGACCCACAGGTTGAGAACCACTGTGCTAGCAGATGCTAGCAAACCCCATTCCTTTCTAGTATTGCTGATGGTACCTGGTTTGGGTAATGAAATGTCTGCTAGAAAGCAATCCAGAGAGCACCAAGGATCCCTCAAAACTGCAGTAGGAGATTTAGCCAAATCTGTGCTTGTAGCCTTCGTTCATCACTTCCAATTTGAAACAGATCCATTTTAACCAGTCCCAAGGCAGAGAACAAAAGAACTCTAAAACCAATTGCCATAAGACTAAATATTTTCGGTATTTGCAACGGATGAAAACAAGTATTTGGGAGTGAATATAAACTCATCGTAAAAACGCTTTCAGATGGCCGTTACATTCCTTGATATTATTTGCATGCATTCCTGCACTGTGGAGCTATATTTGTTAAGCAACACAAAGGAATTTCCACTGTTGGTTTTTAACCCATTATCAGAGGGGAAAATATCACGCTTAGTCTGAAAAATGATTCGTCTGCTTATTTCCTCAATAATTCTTAACTCTTTCTAGCATACCACAACTGAGTTACTTGCAGGCTTACTTTCTAGAAGTTACTTTAAAAAAAAAAAAATTAAAAGGCATGCAATTCCCAGTATGACAACAGAGGCACTGCTGTCAAAAATAGTATTCCACATTTATTTCTTGAAATATATAACTATTTATCAAAACCTCCAAAATACAAGTGTTGTGATTAGGAATCGCTGCCACTGAACACTTCATGCCAACACAAATTATTGCAGAACATAATTTTTGTTTTTCAAGAGTTCTCGACACATCTGCAACATGGGGAGTATCATTTATTCTACGCTGGAGGGAAAAACCATTTACTGGCTTACCGGTTAATAAAAATGTGCATTCCAACTTGTCAGCATGGGAGAGAACAAGTAAAGGAAACAAACATATTTTGGGGATGATACAGTAAAGTTAAATCTCCTGAACGTTAGTGTGCATTTCAGGCCTTTTTTTTTTTTTTTAGGTACAGAAATAAGACTAAAAGAAGGTCACAAACTTATTCCTTCGAGAGGATGGGGCAGATAATGAGTGAAAATCTACTTCCAAAATGTCGCTCGATTATAGATTTGTATCTATCCATAATTATTGATTTACAGAGCTAATTCATACAGATTGTATTGCATTCTAATATAAGTATCAATATTAAGTTACAGTCACGAGCAACTAAAAAGTTGCAGTATAAGAAAACCCTGGCATTTGCTGCCAGGCACAAATTCAGCTTTAGACACTTTAACACACAATATTTTATAACACAAGTTCCACCAGTGGGAGATCCACACTGATTATAAAGCAGGACGTGTTCTTTACTTGGTGCACAGAGTTCTAGCATATTGCTCTAATAAGATCTAAAGTTCCTGCATGAAGCAATCGGAGCTTAAAATCTAAATTTCACATGTTTGTTCAGCTATTTTTGTAAAGGTTTAGATGAGAACTTACTGTAGTGTTCCAGTTGATCTGTGGTATTCTTGAGTGGAGATTTAGGCTGAACATAAGCAATAGAACTCCAGTAACTACCAATGCGCTACAGCTGACAAATTCAAAAAAATAAAGTCCTTCACAAGGAGAACATTCCATGATGGTCTCTATGCAGATGAAGGAAATCAAAGCCAAAACCTAAGACGTGAAAAACAGGAAAACAGTATTGTAATATTCTGAATATACAGACACAAATAATCCCGAAGCATTCATTGGGAAGTAGATACTTAAATGTGCAATAACCAGTAAGATTCTCAATATAAAGCGGGGATCCCCAAAGCTGACAACTTTTCAGAGTTGCAGACTTCAACTCCCCACCCCATGGCTGGCTAGGGAATTATGGGAGTTGAAATGCACAAGTCTTAAAATTTGCCAATTTTGGAAACCACTGGTATAAAGAATTCAACACAAGTTATACCAAAGCTAGTTTGCTTCTAGAGTACGGCTATCTGAGACACACTCATCCATAATTTACCAGATAAACGATTTTATGTGTTGGAAATCTATTAAAGGCCACTACTTAGGAGCTATGAAATGCTTCCAAATATAAATCAATGCAAAGAGCCTGCACTAATAATTATATTAGTGAAATGTGTTTTCTTACAGGAGATCCCAAACACCTTGATCGTTTATGAAATTTAAGGAGGATGTAGATATCACAATGTCCTTTTTGTAACTGTGTGTACCCATTGCTTCTTTTTTGTTATTATTATTTTCATAGAAAACTTATGGAGGAGGTCTGAAACTCCTCAGTACTGTCTTTGATCTAAAAGATGGATCATACTACAAGTATAATAGACAATCATTCCAAGTCAGGCATCCCTAAACCTTTTGCAATCATGCCTCCCTTTAGTATAATATTAATATACATAGGTCCCCTAAAAAAACACCCAAATAAATACAAACAACCAATAAAACAATAAAATGGAACTCTGAAAAGGTGGGTTTATTTGTAACGACTAAAGGTGGGTTTATTGTATACGACTAAAAGATTCTTCGCAACCCTCCTGGATTCTGCCTGCATTTCCCCGAGAGAGGGACAAATCACAGTTTCATTCAAATCTTGTGAAAAAGTTGTAAATTCTTGTCTTCTAACCCATATACCTCAACAGTTTGCATTCTGCTTTGCTGGGGAAAGCGAAACTTTAGGTGAATTCACCAACTCACAGTCAAGGATTGTTGGACTTTTTTCTGACTCAAATAATCTGTCGAATGTAAAAATGGTACAGTTATATTTTCAGGGGCTTTCTGAATGAAGGCCAGCAAAGTGGAGGCCAATTTAACCTCTACCCAATTTTGCCCTGCTCATGCTAATTCTCAAGGCATCTGTCAATGCAAGGAAAGGGAACCTATTTCTGAAACATCCCCAGCCAAGTTGAACACAAAACTGGTGGTTCAAAATAAAATGTGGGATTGGCTATGAACTTCCCCCAAATTGTTTCAGTTTTTCAAGAGCCAGTAAGTTTTTTTACAATTATACAGGATCAAAGAGCAGTAGCCAAAAAGAGATTTTTCCCCAAATATTTTTGTCCTATTGCAAAGGACACTGCCACACATATTTCTGACGTGCTTTGAGATTGGCCCCACATGCCAGCAAAACAAAAAAGAAAGAAAATGAATTGTAGCAGAACCAGATCCACTTTGGCAAATCATCTTAACTAAGTATTATTGTCAACATCTGAGAAAAATGAAAAGAATGCACCAAAGTTTAAATTTAACCTCAGCAGAAGTTTTCAGAAGGAAAAACAATGTTACCATTACATTTTCCCTATTTAGCTGGCTGCATTTTATTGCTTGATAAATTGGGCAATAACAGCCTTTTTTTTAAAAAAAAAAAAAACCTTCCATCCTGACAACTTTTTTTTAAAAAAAAACAGCTCTTCCTGTTTATCTGAAGAGGCCCATAAAAAGACTTATTGTGAGTGGTTCAATGACATAATTACTCATGATTGTGAAAAACCAACAAATAAGGGTATATATTTTTTTCCTGCTTCAGAATATTCAGGATCTTGGAGCAAAAGCTTTACAGAAGCTACTTTATCTTGCAATAAGCTAAAGCTAGAGATCAACCTTGACTGCTCTTTAGAAGGCCAGATCCTGAAGTTGAAACTCAAGTAGTTTGGCCACCTAATGAGAAGGAAGGGCTCACTGGAGAAAAGCCTAATGCTGGGAAAGATGGAGGGCAAGAGAAGAAGGGGACGACAGAGAAGGAGGTGGCTGGATGGAGTCACTGAAGCAGTAGGCATGAGCTTCAACGGACTCCAGAAGATGGTAGAGGGCAGGAAGGCCTGGAGGAACGTTGTCCATGGATCGTGATGGATCGGACACAACTTCGCAACTAACAACAACAACAACAACATGCTAAAGCTGATAATACATTCTAATGTAGGGATGGTGAGGAACGAAGAAAATTGTCTTTGGAATTCCCCAAACCTGGAAGGTAAGACACTGAGCTTGTCACTGGAAGGATGGCAGTCGAGACCCAAGCACTGCATGACAGGGTGAGCTGCCATTCTTGCCTCAGCACTTGCCCACCTAGCAGTTCAAAAACATGCAAATGCAAGTAGATAAATAAGTACCACTTTGGTGGGAAGTTAAGTGTTCCGTGTGTCTTGGCAAACAGTCCTGCCAGCCACATGACAACAGAAATGAGTTGTCACTTCCCACTTTACTGATGTTGTCTTCAGCTTAGTTGGGTAGATACATGCCATCCCATGGACCAATAACACTCCATGTTTTACTCAACAGCCTACCTCTCTCCAGGGGATTGGTCTTTCACTTGCTCATTCCACTCTATCCAGCCCAGGTCACAGAAAGTGACTGGAGTTATTTTTCTCAACCACCATGATTGGGAAACAAAGCCAGGAGAATCCACCAATCACATTCCAGGAGATCCAATTCTGAAACTTTAAGGCCACTCACCAGCCTTGTGACTAAGGCAGAATAGCGTTTAGTAGTCAGGATAGTAAATGTTATGCTTGAAAACTTTGCGGCCAGCTCAAGAATTGGTGGGTTGTCTGGATGAGCTCAGAGAGCTTGAAACAGGACTGGAACTCTCTTAAGTATTCTGTACTTCAGTTCCCGCCAACTTTGACAGCAGTGACAAAAAATGGTGACAGTTCTATTAAAAACATCTGGAGGATGTGGTTAGGTTGTGTATTCCCAGTCCAAACACAACAAGCACCTCCTTGCAACCACTCAGAAGGGGAATGGGAAACTCACTAGTCTCACATACACCGTTGTGGTTAATGATTATGGTGCTGGACTATGACCAAAGAGACTTATGATCAAGTCCACCAACTGTCACAGAAACTCACTGGGTGTCTTGGAGCAGGTCCAACCTACCTCACAGTGTTCTTATGAGAATAAAAATACAGAATAACAGAGTTGGAAGGATCAGAACAGAACAGAATAACAGCATTGGAAGGGAACTTGGAGGTCTTCTAGTCCAACCCCCTTAAAACTGGAGAACAGAATATCATACACAGAGTCATGAACTCCTAGTAAAAAAGGTGGCGACTGTCAGTGTCATCTGTATTATTGTTTCTACATTAATATTTTATCCAATTTTATTGTATCATATGTCTCCTTTTTAGTCTTGTTAGTAAATATAGGCTTAGATTTTTTTTGTGGTGTTCTCTGACCTAGAGGCCACAAAAAGGTTTGATTTGAGTTGATACATCTCTAATAAATAATAAATTTTAAGCTGTGTTTTAGCTTAATATCCAAATGGAATTAGAATAAAGAAAAAGTAAGTCTCATTTTAAAGTAACAGCTTTCATTTCAAATAGCAGGGTTACTTAAGATTTGTTAAAGTATCTATTTGGTATTCAATTACCACAATGCAAGAATTTTAGTAAAAAAAATAATCAGGAGCACAATAGAAGCTAAAAGGAATCTGCTAGAATAAGAATGTTATCAATTCAAATAAAAATATTCACAATATCAGGAATTCCAAATTTTCAATCCGATATCTCTCTTAGATGCTATGCTTTAAAAGACAAACAGTCTAGACATACTGGAAAAATAGGAATATTAAAAATAATAATAAAACTGCTAGCCACAACACTAAGAATATAGTGTTCTTCCAACACAAATATTGGTATAGATTTCATGCTTCATTAAAGTTTCACCATTTAAAAAGCAAACATTAATTTTCCCCCAAAAAATATAAAGATAGGCCATGGAGTTTTAGAAACTCCTTAAAAAGTAGAAGAGTTGTTTTCTAAAAAAACAAAACTCAGTATTATCCTTGTATATTCATTAAGAGTGACAGAAGTTCCAATGAAATGCATTTTATTTTTATTTATTTATAAAATTTATTGGCCATCTTATCCCAAGCTAAACTCTGGATGGCCTACAATCATAAATAATGCATTATCTCTCACACGTGCACTTCAATAGTGTACAGTACAATACCCTGCACAATTCTCTTCTAAAAAGCAACACAAGAATTAAAGACCTGGCTCCTAAGTTCAAAAGTGATATTTAAATAAGGAAAAGGTGTGAAAAAAAATTATTTTACAGAATGTCTATCTACCACCACCCCCATTCCCAGCAGACACTAGAAGAAACAGTAGAACAAAAGAATACAATCAAAATAAACTACAACTAAATACAACAAAATTTCTATCCAAAATCATCACGGAATCCATCCAATTTTGTCCCAAGACACGATGGAATAAAATCACTTGAATCTGCTTGAGAGAAGCCATGTTCTTCATATTTTTCACACAGATGGATCTCTTATGTAAATTGTGAATTGGTATGCCTATCATTGATTCTGTCTTTAAACTCTTTTTTAAACTTTTACTGTACTATTTGACTTTTTTTTTTTTAAGCAAAGTATTCTGACTTTTGAGGAATTCAAATTTATCTCCTTCTCTCCCTGTCACACTGGTGCAAAACAGTGAAATCAAAGGCAATTTTTCCCTCCGAGGTTTCTCTAAGTAATTAATTCTGCTTAGTTGTAAATATGTCCTGAAGGAATTATAGGAGAATGTGTCATAATTGGAAGATTCGAATTCTTAATTACATAGCTACCAATCTAGGGAAGCCTCTCAAAAGTCAGAAGCAATAAATAATTAGTTCTTCTGCCAAGCTCAGCTGTTGACTACACAGCATCAATTAAGAACAAA